TAGGGAAGGGGGCGCGATGTTCACGCGCATGACGTCAGGACATCGCCGCATCACTCTTGCAATGTGCCCCCTCATTGCCCTTGCAAGCTGGCGCCTCTGACCCGAACTGTTCCCCTTTGAAAAATTTCACCGCATGCCACTGGTTGGAAGATTTGGGACAGGGAAAAAAGGAAGGACGTCTTCACACAGCTCAGAGTTAAACTCTGGGATCTGCTTCCAGAAGATGCGGTGGAGGAGGACAGCTTGAAAAGAGGATTAAACCAATTCGTGGGGGATAAGGCTCTCCATGGTATTGCAGCACGATGGTTATAGATTAGCTCAGAGGCAGTAGACTGGAGAAGTTAAGAGGGAAATGCCTAGTTGGACATTCTGAGAAATGGTCTTATGGTCAGGTAGGGTTGCCATATTTCAAAAAGTAAAAACCAGCATTTTTTAAGGAAACCCCAAAAATTGTTGAGGGTTTGGGGGTTTTTGGGGGTTTTTTTTGCAATAATGCCCAAAGAAACACGATTTTTTGTTTGACTTACATAAGCAACGCATTTCAGAAATCCCACCCACCCAGACGTCAATTCCACCTTTGAAATCTTGGACACATGGCAGCCCTAGATCAGGCCAAGAGGGTGGCAGCATAAAAATGTATTTTGCCAGCATATTAACATTGACAATGGCCAGACCAAAACGTTCCATCAAATCCATCCTCCTGCCTCCCCTCGTGGCAGCCCAGGTTTGCAATTGGAGTGTGAAGTCCGTGGAGTTTGGTATGTATGTGGCAGTGGAGTTCAGAAACAAATAGGCTGGTAAGACTGATGGTCGAAAGAATAAAGAAGATTAAGGTTGATTACTCCTGGCGGATGACATTGTTTTGCAAGAAGGCATGACTGGATGACACACTGAACAAGAGCGTTCTGCACTGCAGCATTTTGTTGCAGCTCACACTTGCTACAGCATAAAGTCGACTTGTGGCTAACACACACCCTCCCAGAGTCCGTTTTCCAGGGATAGTCCTGGATTTACAGAAGTCGTCCCGGTTTCTGATTTGATCCCAGAATGTCCCGCTTTTCCTTAGGACGTCCCTATTTTCATCGGAGAAATGGTGGAAGGTCTGGCGTTATGTGACCCCCACCCCACCCCACCCCGAGCCAAGGAGATAAGTAACTTTACAACCTTTAGAAGACATCTGAAGGCAGCCCTGTATAGGGAAGTTTTTTAAAAAAAATGTTTAATGTTTTATCATGTTTTTATATATGTTGGAAGCCGCCCACAGTGGCTGAGGTTGTTGTTGTTGTTGTCGTCATCACCATCACCATCATCATCATTGAATGTTGTTGTTGTTTAGTCGTTTAGTCATGTCCGACTCTTCGTGACCCCATGGACCAGAGCACGCAAGGCACTCCTGTCTTCCACAGCCTCCCGCATTTTGGTCAGACTCATGTTGGTAGCTTCAAGAACACTGTCCAACCATCTTGTCCTCTGTCGTCCCCTTCTCCTTGTGCCCTCAATCTTTCCCAACATCAGGGTATTTTCCAGGGATGCCCCTATTTTCATCAGAGAAATGTCGAAGGCTATGCAAACATTAGCTTAGTTCTGCATAAACTATAACTGGGGCTGGTTTGGCAGAAACCAGCTAGGGATCCAAGAATCCTGAATTTAGGCAATTGGAGCTTGCACCTTGTACTACAAAGCTGCTCCAGGAAAAAAGGTGTGGGCCTATGCCCCATAATCAAAAGGCACACAGTCATAAAGCACACCACTGTGTAATTTGACCAAGTGACTTGTGTTATTTTTACGATGTGGTAGGAGGTCTCCATTTCAGATAAAAACAACAGGGGCTGTATGGGCTGAATAGCTCTCTCCTCAAGATCCATGGTTCCACCTGTTTTACAACTGCATAATACTCACCTGAATTCTCTCCACCTTTTTATTAATTCAGTTCATAATGCGCTGCTATATATCATTTCAGACTCTGTGTGCATGTGTGTACTTCTGGGAGTATTATTCTGAGAGATGTGCAAGAAAAGGCAGGTCTTCCAAATGAAGCCTCGCCTCTGTCTTCCAAATGAAGTCCTCTGAATAGAACCAGCTGAGGTTCATTTTGAAAATCTAATTTACCCATCTTGTCTTCTCTTCCATAAGAACGGCATTCCATGTTGGACAACACCACACCTTGGGCAACAAACCATTTTTGCAATCACTTTAAAAACACACACATCTGTAGCACCATCCTATGCCTGTGTTCATTGGAACTTACTGCTAAACGCATTGTAAGGAGTCTGTATAGGAGTATATTGTATTTAAAAATGGGTATCAGGGTTTTTAGGGGGCTAACCAGGTTGGGATAGCTGGGATAGCAGGCTTGTTGGGTTTTGAATGTCTTATGCAGATTTTTCAATTTCGTTGTTCTGTATGGGACAATGACAATAAAGATTATGATATTGTATTATATCGTAGGAAAGCATGGATAGGATTGCAACTAGTTGGGCACAAATATCCTCTTCTCTCTCTCCCTTCATGGGTGATGGAAATGGCCAAAATCCCAATGACTCTTCACCTTGTCTGCGCTTTGCATCTAAAGCAGTATCACCCCACTTAAACAGCCATGGTTTCCCACAAAGCGTCCTGGAAACTGTGGGGTGCTGAGAGTTGTGTGGCGATTTCTGTTCCCCTCCAACAGCTACAATTCCCAGAGTTCCCCTGCAAAGAGAGACTGGTTCATAGCTGCCAACTTTTCCCTTTTCTTGCGAGGAAACCTATTTGGAATAAGGGAATTTCCCTTAAAAGGGAAACGTTGACAGCTATGGATTGGTTGCTAAAACCACTTTGGGAACTGTAACTTTGAGAGGAGAACAGGAGTCTCCTAACACCTCTCAGCAGCCATATGAAACTACACTACCCAAAATTATCTGGGGGAAGCCACAACTCTTTAAAGTGGTATCATGTTGCTTCCATTGCATGGCACGGATGTGGCCAACACCTGTGGTTGTGTATGGGACAGACCGGGACCTAAGTATGCCGCTCAAAGTCAGGTGATCATTTTCAAAATGGATGCTAACCTTTCCCTCTTCTTTCCTTGTGCGTGCAGGAGGGGGGTGAACGCCCACCAGCCGATGATGGTTTTGCAGTCGTCCTGTCCCCCCCCCATTAACGCCTTTGTTTGCTGAACAAAGGCCTTGAAGAACAGGACTCTCGACAGGACCGAAAGTCTTCAGGAATAACAACAACCCAGCCACCGCCACCCTTGGCGCGTGGCAGATGGTTTCGGAGACAATCCTCGAGAGCCAGGATTAAAAAGCAATTTCCAGCAACTTCAAAATGGGTCTCCATATTTGGGTCACCAAATTAACTCTTTCGAGGGGAGGAGAAGAGGACTTATGCGTTGGATTCCCCGTGCATCATCAGTCTGTTTAAAGCAGGAGGTATAAGAAGCAGAGGCTGGCCCATCAGGGCAAATGGGGCTGTGCCCCACCAGCCTCAGAGAGCCCAGAGACAGCCTCTCCTCTGCTTGCCTACTGACCTCCAGCCCAATAGCTGGTCAGCTTCCTGCTCCTTGACCTCAGTATTGGACTTGTAGAACTCAGCAGGGAGGAGGGGGGTGGGGACAAAACTAGAACCAGTTGCCTCTGCCTGTTGTTGCCTGTGGCGCCCCCTGCTGTTGGGCTCCCCACCTTCTTCCCAACCAGTCCTCAATGGGCTCCAGTCACCACAGCCTAGTCTGGATGGATGCAGAGAAGTGGTGGGAGGCACCAGATGGGGAACCCCCAAGGGACACCCCAGGGGAAGAAGGCTCAGAGCCAGGAGATTGGTGGTGGGACGATGATGCAGTGGGAGAAGAGGGGGGGAGAAGAGATGATGCAGTGGGAGAAGAGGGGGAGGAGGTGTTGGAAGCTGAAGCGGCAACAGGGTTTAGTGAGCAGGAAGAGACTGTAGCAGAGAGCAGTCCAGACTCAGGGGCAGAAGAGGAGGCTGGAGAGGACAAGGGCCAAAAGGCAGGGGTGAGGTTGGCAGCTGAAGAATCCAGGGTGTCTGCTCCTTTCGCTGCAACCAGCTCCCTTCCACCCTGAGCTCCCAGAACCAGAAGAGGTATGAAGAGGGTGGAGCAAAGAGAGACAAGACAGATGAGCCTGAGATATTTTGGGAAGGAGGGAGGACCTTCAGTTCTAGCATCTACCTTCTTGGAGCAAGATCTACTGGGAAGCGTTGCTGGGATCACTAGGTCTGCACTGTTCTGGTTTCTTTGAATAAAGAGTTAATTTCACTAACACCAGTGTTTTTGATTTCTTTCTTGATTTTTTTTTTTTTAGCGCAGCAGCATTTAATTTAAACGGATTAAAGAGAGTAACATTTCCTCTGTCTTCATATAAGAATAGTTGTAAAAGAAAATTCTTAAAAAGGTACCGCTTCCAATGTCTTTATTTTCCATAACCTTGTGAAATTAATTGCATGAAGCTACAAAATGAGCAAATGCTTTGAAATCTGTATACAAAACATAGATGACCTCTACAGTGGTACCTCGGGTTACATACGCTTCAAGTTACATACGCTTCAGGTTACAGACTCCGCTAACCCAGAAATAGTACCTCGGGTTAAGAACTTTGCTCCAGGATGAGAACAGAAATCGTGCAGCGGCAGCAGTGGGAGGCCCCATTAGCTAAAGTGGTGCTTCAGGTTAAGAACAGTTTCAGGTTAAGAACGGACCTCCGGAACAAATTAAATACTTAACCTGAGGTACCACTGTACTTTTAAACTCAGCTTTTTTGTGCGCAACTCAGAAACTTTTAAAAGTGGCACCCAAAATAGCAATACGCCACTCTAAAAAAAGGAAACTGTTCTTTTAATACCATACCCTCCCGCTTCTGCCGACACTCAGACCTCAATACACAACTAGTCATTGTGTTCACGGACATTTCCAAGGTGAGATTCCATGTTCCGTTCCTGTAACTTCTGGTTGTCAGAATACCCATGATTTCCTTCGTTGAAGTTGGGCGCATCCCTTCCAATGTTCTTCATGCACATTTTAGCCTCTGTTCAGGTTCACTATCTTCATCTCCGTTGAAGACTGCTGCTACAGAAAGTGTTTTTGGAGCTAGGCTTGGAGTAGGCTCTTTAGGTTTATTTGCCCGATCTTGATGGATATTGCAGGCAGATGGTTCCTTCGAAACCTGTGTGCCAATGGCAAACCCGAACGCGGACATTTTGGCAGGAGCAGGCTTTGCGTCGAGGTTGTCAGTTCCTTCATCAGCTGCCGGCTTCTCCATGCTGTGACTCAAACTTTCCCCTCCATTACTGGAAGAAACAGTCTTAGTTTTCACAGGTTTTTCTGCCTCCTTCTTCGGGTCCTCCGTCAAGAAGCGGCTGCTTCAGCTTCATGTTGCCTCCTTTGCCGTCCGCCATTTGCCCCCAATGTTTTTTATTTCTGACCTACTCCTGATTCCGGCTCCTGACGTCAAACTTGCAGCTTTTTTGGCTCAGCTGTGAACTTCATTGTCCAGAAAGTGGGAGAAGCAACAAGAGGAACAGCCATTTTAGATCTGGTCCTAACCAATGTTGATGATCTGGTTAGTGGGGTAGAAGTGGAAGGATCATTAGGCGCGAGTGATCATGCTCTTCTGAAGTTTACTATACAGCGGAAAGGAGCAGCCAAGCATACTAGGACTCAATTTCTTGACTTTAAGAAAGCTGACTTCATAAAACTTAGGGAAGTGCTGGGTGAGATCCCATGGACAGTAATACTAAAAGGAAAGGGAGTTCATGATGGCTGGGAGTTTGTTAAGAGGAGATACTAAAAGCACAACGTCAGGCAATACCAATGAGACAGAAACATGGAAGGTGCCTAAAGAAGCCAGGGTGGCTATCTAAAGAACTTTTAACTGAGTTAAGATTAAAGGATGTGTACAAAAAATGGAAAAGGGGGGAAACCACCAAAGAGGAATTCAAACAAATAGCCAGCACGTGTAGACACAAAGTCAGAAAAGCTAAAGCACAGAATGAACTCAGGCTTGCTAGAGAGGTTAAAAGCAACAAAAAGGGCTTTTATGGGTATGTCCGTAGCAAAAGGAAGAACAAAGAAACAGTGGGGTCACTCAGAGGAGAAGATGGTGAAATGCAAACAGGGGACACAGAAAGAGCTGAACTCCTCAATGCCTTCTTTGCCTCAGTCTTCTCTGATAAAGAAAACAATGCCCGACCTGAAGAATTTGGAGCAAATGATTCAGCAAAGGAAACACAGCCCAGAATAACTAAGGAGATAGTACAAGAATACTTGGCTAGTTTAGATGTATTCAAGTCTCCAGGGCCAGATGAACTGCATCCAAGAGTATTAAAAGAACTGGCAGATGTGATCTCAGAACCACTGGCAGTCATCTTTGAGAATTCCTGGAGAACAGGCGAAGTCCCGGCAGACTGGAGGAGGGCAAACGTTGTCCCTATTTTCAAAAAGGGGAAAAGAGAGGACCCAAATAATTACCGCCCAGTCAGTCTGACATCAATACCAGGGAAGATTCTGGAGCAGATCATTAAGCAAACAGTCTGTGAGCACCTAGAAAGGAATGCTGTGATCACCAATAGTCAGCATGGATTTCTGAAAAATAAGTCATGTCAGACTAACCTGATCTCGTTTTTGACAGAATTACAAGCCTGGTAGATGAAGGGAATGCAGTGGATGTAGCCTACCTTGATTTCAGCAAGGCATTTGACAAGGTGCCTCATGATATTCTTGTAAAGAAGCTGGTAAAATGCGGTCTTGACTATGCTACCACTCAGTGGATTTGTAACTGGCTGACTGACCGAACCCAAAGGGTGCTCATCAATGGTTCCTCTTCATCCTGGAGAAGAGTGACTAGTGGGGTGCCACAGGGTTCTGTCTTGGGCCCGGTCTTATTCAACATCTTTATCAACGACTTGGATGATGGACTCAAGGGCATCCTGATCAAATTTGCAGATGACACCAAATTGGGAGGGGTGGCTAACACCCCAGAGGACAGGATCACACTTCAAAACGACCTTGACAGATTAGAGAACTGGGCCAAAACAAACAGGGAGAAATGTAAAGTATTGCACTTGGGCAAAAAAAATGAGAGGCACAAATACAAGATGGGGGACACCTGGCTTGAGAGCAGTACGTGTGAAAAGGATCTAGGAGTCTTGGTTGACCACAAACTTGACATGAGCCAACAGTGTGATGCGGCAGCTAAAAAAGCCAATGCAATTCTGGGCTGCATCAATAGGAGTATATCATCTAGATCAAGGGAAGTAATAGTGCCACTGTATTCTGCTCTGGTCAGACCTCACCTGGAGTACTGTGTCCAGTTCTGGGCACCACAGTTCAAGAAGGACATTGACAAACTGGAACGTGTCCAGAGGGCAACCAAAATGGTCAAAGGCCTGGAAACGATGCCTTATGAGGAACGGCTAAGAGAGCTGGGCATGTTTAGCCTGGAGAAGAGGAGGTTAAGGGGTGATATGATAGCCATGTTCAAATATATAAAAGGATGTCACATAGAGGAGGGAGAAAGGTTGTTTTCTGCTGCTCCAGAGAAGCGGACACGGAGCAATGGATCCAAACTACAAGAAAGAAGATTCCACCTAAACATTAGGAAGAACTTCCTGACAGTAAGAGCTGTTCGACAGTGGAATTTGCTGCCAAGGAGTGTGGTGGAGTCTCCTTCTTTGGAGGTCTTTAAGCAGAGGCTTGACAACCATATGTCAGGAGTGCTCTGATGGTGTTTCCTGCTTGGCAGGGGGTTGGACTCGATGGCCCTTGTGGTCTCTTCCAACTCTATGATTCTATGATTCTATGATTCTATGAGATTTGGGGCTACTTCTATGTAGGCTTTGACTATGTCACACTGATTTGCAGTGCCCTCCTGTTGGTGGGCTAGGGGTGTTTGTCAAGGATGTCCTGAGTCCAGGTCCACACCCCATTTTTAACCTTTGGAAAAACCCACGGCTTTGCATCCATCTTAAGTTGATGTAAGCATTTGCTTCTGGGGAATAGTCATGTGTCACATGACAACAGGGCCAGGGGCAAAGGTAGGTGGAGCAACACACCTATATTTTTATCTTTTTATGGCAGGCTGATTTCTATAAACACACACACCCTCCACCCAGCCATGTAGCCTCTCCAGCCAGGCAAGAAAACACCCAAGGTTGGGTATAAAGTGTGGCTGATGAAGGTGTTCAGCATGGGGAGAATCCTGAAGGCCAGGAACAGGCTGAGGGAGGCACATTTGCCCACACCCACAAGGGCTGAGGTTGCTGGTTCCCAGTTTGTGGCTGGACCCACTGCCATCTTCACTGGGCCAGAAGCAAAATTTGTACCCAAGTAGAAATGGGGGAGAAATTTGATTCAAATTGCATTTCAAGGCAGGTCTAACCTAAGCGGCACTTTCTGTAACAATGCGTCGGACCGAAACGCAGCCCTCATTCTAGATTTGCTCTTCCTGAGTTTTCCAGCAGTTCTCCTGTCTGCCAACGTGCACAAAAATGCATGCGCGAGGGCAAAGTACGTGCATAAAAATACCTCTGTGGATGAAAATAACATGCAAAAAGGCAATGATTGGGGGAAATGGCTTTGCAAAAAAGTGCAAAATTGCGTATAAGCATTTGCATGTGAGGAGAAGTTCACACTAAAGTCCTGATGAATTTTCATGGGGACTGGGTGGTGTGTGTGTGTGTGTGTGTGTGTGTGTGTTTAGCAAAAGCACAAATATATGGAAAGATGGAGAACAGAACTCAAGGTTGGAAAAATGAGAAACTGAGAGAAACCAAAATTGATAGATTCCCCCCCTCCCACCGCAACTATCAAGCAGTTCTCCCTTAATCAGACCCAGAAGCAGACATATCATAACAGGAGAAAGGACATACATTTTAAAAATACCCATGCTGATTTCCCCCCCAATGTTGAAAACAAATTGTGTATGAGGTGATTATGGAACGAAAGAGGCTGGTAAAGCAAAATGACAGAGTAGCTTCAATCTGGATGAAAGCTGAAAGAGCTGGTAATTTGCCATTGATTTCCAAGGCACATCCGCCTAATGACTTTTTTTTTTTTTGCATTAAAAGCAACACATCTGCCGGCTGCTGCCCGACCCCCACATCTGCTATTTGTTGAAACAAAATCATGTCCTCATCATACATTCGCCCCGCATACTCCCAACATCTGCATGGTTGTGTGTGTCCCTGCCCATTTTGTCAGGGTCATTATTTTCCCAGCATCAGTTGGTTTGTGTGTTGCAGGAGATGGGATTTGGGGCTGGTAGCTTATTTTCGTAGTTTGATTTCATCTCCCGCGGATGGGGGAGATGACTCCAGTAGGAAGCAAGCAACCTCTGATACTCCACTACAACCAGCAGCTGTGGCTAGGGCTACTCTAGGAGGCCAGAGTATGTCAGATGTCCCTCTTTGAGCGTGGGTAGGCAAACTAAGGCCTGGAGGCTGGATCCGGCCCACGGATGGTCCAGGAATCAGCGTGTTTTTACATGAGTAGAAGGTGTCCTTTTATTTAAAATGCATCTCTAGGCTATTTGTGGGGCATAGGAATTCGTTCTTTTTTCCCCCCCCTCTTCAGAATATAGTCCGGTCCCCCACAAGGTCTGAGGGACAGTGGACCGGCCCCCTGCTGAAAAACTTTGCTGACCTCTGTCCTAGAGCTTTGAAGTGCTTGGAAGCAACTCAGATCTTTTGAGTCAGGCATGCTTGGAAGAGAAATGGCAATGCTGGTAGAAAGAACTTTTGCTGAGCCTTTTGCACCTGAAATTCATTGTACAATGAAAGTGCCTGGAAGAAATTAAGAGTTTATAGCCTTTCACCAGCAATGGGGGGGAAAGGAGTCCAACCATTGGTCTACCTAGCAAAGTATTGCCTGCAAGAACATGTAGCAGTTCTCTAGGGTTTATGGCAGGGGATCCTTCTCAATGCTACCTGGAGATACTGGGGATTGAGCCTGGGAGCAGACAGATGCTTCAGCACTGAGCTATGAGCCTTCTCTTGCTCTCTCTCCCCCCTTAAAGCTGCATGCATAGGTTTGTCCCAGCTGAAGTTGGCATGAGGGCATCAGAGGTAATCCATTAACTGATACCGAGCTGACAGGTGGTGCAAAACCCAAGTGCATTGAAAAATATATATACATCTTTTTTTTCCAGCAGGTGTCTTTTTGTTAAGATTCCTTCCTGTGTACAAAAACAAATTGGAACAAAAATGCAAATGAGCCGGTTATTTTTGTCAGTGACTGAAAGGCTGCTATCTTCTCAGACATTTG